AATGAGATTAAACACACAATAAATGTTCGATGAAGATAAAAAGGATTAATTCCACTCCAAATTTCCAAATCTTAAGATTTTTGATTCTGGAATGTGCCAAACATGATCTAGGAAGTTCTGGCAGCCACAGGTGACACTTGTTCTCCAACAATGGTTCTGGACAGGCTGAAATGGCTTCTTTCCCCTAAACTCTGTAAATTATTTTTCATCAATTGTAAATAATATAATTGCTTACTGGAATGCCCATAATTAAGTATTTATGGATGAAACAAAAATAATGATGTGTTGGTGTGCTTAAATATACTCCAGTGTAAAAAGATTGGAAACTGTTTAAGCACACTGATGGACACAAAGATGGTCGCTTTAGTATTCTATTCAGAGAGTAGCCCTCTGGAAACAAACCAAAAAAACTCCACAAAATATATGAAACAATTGTATTCAGACATTAGATAGCAGCAAGCACATTACTGCTACGTTGAGTAAAAGGACATAAAATTTTCTGAAGGAAGTAACTTTCCAGACTGTCATATAAGGCAGCAAAACCCAAGCCCAGTATGGCAGCCACATTATATTGAGGACAAAAAGACTGCAGTTCAAGGATGCTGAAGCAGCTATTTGTGGAGCAGAGTACCAGAGAGGTAGCAGTCATACAGACAAAAAGCTCTGGAAACCCGAGTTCCTGAGTTTTACCAAACACTAAGCTATGCATACCAAAAAGCCTCAAAACATCCAAAAAAATTCTTCAAATAACCTAACTGCCATCCATACAAACTTTAACATGCTTTAAAGAAAAAAACAAAATCAGGAAATCAATAATGTAATATAATATCCAGCATTCAATATAAAATTACTAGACATGTGATATGAACTTGCAATTCTATTCCTAGGTATTTATTTACCCAAGAGATATAGGACGACTGGAGAGTGAAATTCAAGTAGAATATAAAATTTCAGATCAGTTTCACATTTTCACCTTTTATCTTCATATACCCTTATTGATTCCTTTAAATAAGAAAGCATTCATAGATTATCAGTGTATGCCATGGGAGTACATGTGAGGGTCAGGTATCTCTTGAGTATAAGGGAGGATAAGAGAGTTGAGGGCACAAGCATTATAGAGTAGAAAAGATGTTTGACCTGAGCTTAAAAACTAAGTCAAATAGGTCATGTGCATGAAAAAGATAGCAGAAAAGGCATATTTAGTACAGTAAAAAAAATAAACAGAGGCACTGAATTAACAGGAATTGTGAGTTTAATGCATCTAAAATATAGCTTCTAAATACCTTCTTTAGTTGCTAGAAGGATTATATGAATTCTCATTTTTAAAATCTGAAAAATAGTGGTGATATAAGGATTTGAGGAGACTTTAAAACATGATTGTGACAGTAGTTGTCATTTTTGTCATGTGCCAATGTAAATACTTATGTAGTCCAAGACACTATTCTAAGCAATTTTTTCAAAATATTTTATTTATTTATTTGAGAGGCAGAGTTACAGTGAGAGGGACAAAGGTCTTCCTTCCATTGGTTCACTCCTCAAATGGCTGCAATGGCCAGAGCTGCACCAATCTGAAGCCAGAAGCCAGGTGCCTCCTCCTGATCTCCCATGTGGGTGCAGGAGCCCAAGGACTTGGGCCATCTTTCACTGCTTTCCTAGGCCACAGCAGAGAGCTGGATTGGAAGAGGAGTAGCCGAGACTAGAACCGGCACCCATATGGGATGCTGGCGCTGAAGGCAGAGAATTAACCTACTGTGCCTCGGCGCCGGCCCCCTAAGCAATTTTTAATGTTTGATGAATCCTTGCAGAAACCTTGTGAAGTAGTTAGGTCTAATTATTATATAAACTAATTCACACCTAGTTGCACACTAATGAGTACCACAGCTAGGAATCAGCATAATACTGCACTGTGGCACAGTAGGTTAAGCCTCCACCTGCGGCACTGGCATCCTATATGGGTGCCAGTTCAAATACCAGCTGCTCCACTTCCAATCCAGCTCCCTGCTGGTGGCCTGGGAAGGCAGTGGAAGATGGCCCAAGCAATTGGACCCCTGTACCCACATGGGAGACCCAAAAGCTCCTGGCTACTTTACTCTGCTTCCCCCAACACACACACACACACACACACACACACACACACAAATACATTTGATCAAATTAAGAAACTTTTTTTTTACCAGTTAATGAGTTAATGCTAGCTCTAAAGGAAGAAGAGAATAACTTAAGATTAGCAATTTCTAGCTTCATTGTAATTTACCCCTTCAAAACTGAAGCTTCTCTGCAGGAGAAACTTACATGATTTGATAGAGACATCTGCTAAGTCACATCAAATTTAATTTATTTTCATATTGAAAAATAACCACAGACAGTCATATGAAGATCTTACATGCACTAGTTCATTCCCCAAATGCCTGCAACACCCTGATCAGAGCAGGCTTAAACCAGTAGTTCAGAACTCAACCTAGGTCTCACACATGGGTGGCAGGGACCTAAGCACTTGAGTCATCATCCACTGCCTCCCAGGGTACCTCTATTTTTTTAGGATTATTATACACTCCAAATCATTTCTCCTTTTTCCCATTCACCAATCCACAAATAAATCCCAAAGTAGTAGATGGCTGGCTGGGAAACAATCAGGGTTGAGGCAAAACCAGTAGAGTATTAATGGTTAAAGGCACAGAATTTGGTGCTACTTACATTTATGCTGAATCCTGGCTGAGGAACTCATTAGTGTGCAACTAGGTGTGAATTAGTTGTCCTCTCTCTGCAGTAGTAATTAGACCTAACTACTCCACAAGGTTGCTGTAGGGATTAATCAAACATTAAAAAATTGCTTAGGGGGCCGGCGCCGAGGCACAGTAGGTTAATTCTCTGCCTTCGGCGCCAGCATCCCATATGGGCGCCAGTCTAGTCCCAGCTGCTCCTCTCCTGATCCAGCTCTCTGCTGTGGCCTGGGAAAGCAGTGGAAGACGAGCCAAGTGCTTGAGCCCCTGCACCCACGTGGGAGACCCGGAAGAAACTCCTGGCTCCTGGCTTCAGATTGGTGCAGCTCCAGCCGTTGAGGCCATTTGAGGAGTGAACAAATGGAAGGAAGACCTTTGTCTCTGTCTATCCCTCTCACTGTCTGTAACTCTACCTCTCAAATAAATAAATAAAATATTTTGAAAAAAATTGCTTAGAATAGTGTCTTGGACTATATAAGTATTTACACTGGCACATGACAAAAATGACTACTGCCACAATCATTTTTTAAAGTCTCCTCAAATCCTTATATCACCACTATTTTTCAGATTTTAAAAATGAGAATTCATATAATCTTTCTAGCAACTAAAGAAGGTATTTTCATTACTATTTTATGAATGGGTTCTGAAGAAAAACTAAGAAATTTGCTAGACTAAAGCACACAAATACATAACAGCCTGATTCTAAGCTGTGAAATTGTTTTCAGAGAACAGATTTTATTTGGTTTTTCTGTAGAAGTTACCAAAAGTTACACACTGGCAAAAAGGTACACTATCAAATAAATATATATCACTTGAATCTTAGAAATGAGGTAAAAATTTGGTGAAAGAAATAACACATTAGTGATAACAAGTTATCTTTTATTAATTTCCCCATACACCAAGTACTTATCTAAGCTTTACATATAGATGATCTCATCTATTTTATTAACTGATTACCACTGTTATCACATCCTACAGATGAAGCAACTAGTTCTTGACAACATTAAATAACTTGGAAGAGGTCACACAGCTTATAAACAGCAGAGCTGACATTCAATTCCAGGTCTATCTGACACCAAAGCCTAGCTGTTTAACTTCTATTTATGCTTCTCTGAGGTAATGCATGTTTTGTTGAGCCCAGGCACTGAAACTCAATCTCTTCAATATACAGAAAAAAATCCCAAATTATAAACAGATTAATGTTCTTTCTTTAGTCCTCTATCTTACTGTACACAGTGAAGCATACGTTTATGCATTGTCAGGACTCTCAAGTGGCATCCCCTGCAGTATCAGAATCAGGTCAGAAGTTTTTTAAATTTTCTCTGGAGTACAAAAAAGGAATCTCAAAATTCTTTTTTTGATTAAGAAAAGGAAAGAAAGCTGGGTGTGGCTTATTACTTGGGTCAAATATACTAATATGATAATAAACAGGGAAAGTGGACTAAGTGGTGTATAGTAACACTACCTCACAATTTTTGTTTTATAAATTTAGAAAGGAAAAAATGCTATTCTAAAACACTGTAAACATACAAATCATACTGAACTCTAATACAAAAAACAATATTTTACCTGTCTCAAGAGAAACTGTTTCCCTATTCCACCCATAGTAATAAAAATTAACCAACACATTAAGTTGATTCTGAGTATCTAAAATCAAGCAGTGAAAGGAGATGATACAGTAGTTCAAAATACTCAAGAAAAAATTTCAGACATTACAACATCTCTTCTTCAAAAGGCTCACAAAACTATCACTGGGAGATTTATATTACTCAAAAATTTCTAAATACATCACAATGTCCTTATTTTAAGGAATAGATTTTTATGTCAAAAAGGCTTTGTTTAGACCTTCTACTGAAAAAATTAATTAATCTCCTCATTAAAAATGCACACAACTAATACTTCAGTTAATGCTATACTGTTACAAACACTATGGCTGGACCATCAAGAAAACCTAGATAGTTCCTAAATCTATGATATAAAAATTTTATCTACATAAGGGTACTTCAAAAATTCCAGGGAAAATGGAATTAAAAGGTAATTTTGATGTGAATAAATTTTGCAATCCAGGCATATTACTTTCTTAATGCTCATTTTCCATAAAGGTACCCTATACTTTTCGATGTTAGTCTTCCAAACTATACAAAAATCTTCAAAACTGAAACACATTTTAGAATCACAGGCTGAGCTTTATTTCAATCACATCAGACAACACAAAACTGTTATAATTTCTGAATATAAAGCATTTAAATCAAATAAAAAAATGAAAGCCAACAAACTTACTTGGGATACACTGGTTCATAAAGGTACTTGTCCCCTCTTGCAGATGTAATATGAAAAAACAAGATGTAGCCATGTGCCGTCTGAAAGAGAAATTTTAGTAACCATCAATGAAAGGTTAAGAACCCCCCATTAAAAAATTAGTCTGATTAAGCAAATAAAGTAATTTTTATTATAATGTCTCTAAAAGGCTTGTAAAGAAATGAACAGATTTCATAAACATGTACCTGCAATCAATAGTTCATAAAATGTTAGACATTCTCTCATAACTAGATTATTCAACAGTAGGTGAAAGATATAACTTTTTCAACTTCCCAATAATATGGTAACTAACTGTTCAAAAATGTCTAAAGCAACAATGCCACCAAATAGTAACAGTTTGATAAAATGCTTAGCTACTCAAAGGTTACACAGTAAACTTCAGAATAGCATATTTATATACTTTAAAAATGAACCTTTTGGCCTCTTTTTTACTACGAAATACTGCCTACAGAAGAAAATGAAGCAAGTCTTTGATTTCTAAAACTGTAAAATCAGCTAGTTAAATTTTCTAAGAAACTATTTTTAAATAAAAATTATATTAAAAACAGTGCCACTATATCACAGCCTACATCTGTGACTTTTAAAGTTCAAACAACCATTTTATACTTAGCTGTTCCTAATCAAGTATTTTTAATAGTTAACAGAGTGAATTGGCAAATTTTTCCCCAAACTGCTTTATTCGACTACTGAATTCCTATTATTTTAGAGGTCAACAGGCATTTACCCAGAGTGGAATTGAAGAAAATGTCAAAGGTTTCAAATTTCTTTCCAGTACAGCTTCATGTTCTTCACTCGAAGAAATAACAGAAGCAACACTTCAATTTCTTCATCAAAGCCAGGCTGTTTCTTTTTCTCTTAACTATAAATGCTGCTATTTATAATGTACTCAAAAACTGTAGTGTGCGGCCAGCATTGTGGTACAGTAGATAAAACCACCACCTGTAACAACGGCATCCCATTTGGGCACAGGTTTGTGTCCTGGCTGCTCCACTTCCGATCCAGCTCCCTGGGAATGTGGCATGGAAAATGCAGCAAAAAATGGAGCAAGTATCTGGACCCCTGCACCACCCAAATGGGAGACTGGATGAAGCTCCTGACTCCTGGGTTCAGTGCCTGGCCCAGCACTAGCCACTGGGGAGTAAAACAGCTGATGGAGGATCTTTCGTGTTACCATGACTTTCAAAATAAATAAATCTTAAAAAAAAAAAAAGGCAGGGGCTGGCACTATGGCATAGCAGGTACAGCCACTGCCTGAAGGGCTGGCATCCCATATGGGGGCTGGTTTTGAGTCCCGGCTGCTCCACTTCTGATCCAGCTCTCTGCTATGGCCTAGGAAAGCAGTAGAAGATGGCCCAAGTCCTTGGGCCCCTGCACTCACGTGAGAGACCCGGAAAAAGCTCCTTGTTCTCCCATGCTTCCTCCTGGTCTCCCATGCGGGTACAGGGCCCAAGCACTTGGGCCATCCTCCACTGCCTTCCTGGGCCACAGCAGAGAGCTGGACTGGAGGAGGAGCAACCAGGACAGAATCCAGCGCCCCAACCGGGACTAGAACCCGGTGTGCCGGCACCACAGGCGGAGGATTAGCCAAGTGAGCCGCAGTGCCGGCCCTAAGCTGCCACTTTCAACATTGGAATCCCATATGAGCCTGTAGTTTCAAGTTCCAGTTGTTCTGCTACTGATCCAGTTCCCTGCTCATGTGCCTGTGAAAGCAGTGAAGTACTTGGGTTCCATTGCAGCCATCTGGGGAATGAACTAGCAGATGGAAGACCTCTCTCTCTGTCTCTACCTTTCTCTGTAACTCTTTCAAATAAATAAAATAAATCTTTAAAAAGAAATCCCATATACAGAGGTTATACAATTTTTATTGTAAAATTTGTTTAATGGATATGTCTGGAACCATTCCTTCTTTATATAATGCCTATAATTTTGCATATAAAATAATATTAGACTACACATTCATATTAGGAATATTAAGACAATGTCATATTACATGTTTATGGCAGCTAGAAAAGGCTAGAAAATATTTCAAAACTCATATTTATTTATTTTTTTTTTTTGACAGGCAGAGTGGACAGTGAGAGAGAGAGACAGAGAGAGAAAGGTCTTCCTTTTGCCGTTGGTTCACCCTCCAATGGCCGCCGCTGCAGCCGGGCGCACCGCGCTGATCCGATGGCAGGAGCCAGGATCCAGGTGCTTTTCCTGGTCTCCCATGGGGTGCAGGGCCCAAGCACCTGGGCCATCCTCCACTGCACTCCCTGGCCATAGCAGAGAGCTGGCCTGGAAGAGGGGCAACCGGGACAGAATCCGGTGCCCCAACCGGGACTAGAACCCGGTGTGCCGGCGCCGCAAGGTGGAGGATTAGCCTATTGAGCCACGGCGCCGGCCCAAAACTCATATTTTTAAAAGCATAGGCAGCTATTGGAATCAATGAGGACTACATTGATTAAAATTCCACAGCAGAGGGGCCTGCACCATGGCTCACTTGGTTAATCTTCCGCCTTGCATCGGCAGCATCCCATATGGGCACCAGGTTCTAGTCCCCGTTGCTCCTCTTCCAGTCCAGCTCTCTGCTGTGGCCTGGGAGGTCAGTGGAGGATGGCCCAAGTGCTTGGGCCCCTGCACCCACATGGGAGACCAGGAGGAAGCACCTGGCTCCTGGCTTCGGATTGGCGCAGCTCCGGCTGTAGCAGCCATTTGGGGCGGTGAACCAATGGAAGGAAGACCTTTCTCTCTCTGTCTCTCTCTCTCTCTCTCACTGTCTAACTCTATCCGTCAAATAAAAAAAAAAAAGTTAAAAAATTCCACAGTAGACTGTTGAGAGGTGAGCTGATTTTTTTCCTCCCAAATTAATGTTTGTCAATTCTGAGCACAAGCTAAGAAAGTGGGCTTAGTTCAGGCAGAGGCAAAAGAATATCAACAAAGCTTTCCTCAATCATATAGGGCGCTAAGGTAAAAATCAGACTTGACATGCCTCAACTTCAGTCGATCTTTCCCATGTGATATTTGCTGAATGTAGAAGCTACAGAAGAAGCTAATGTGGCCAGCGCCGAAGCTCAATAGGCTAATCCTCCACCTAGCAGCTCTGGCACACCGGGTTCTAGTCCCGGTCGGGGCGCTGGATTCTGTCCCGGTTGACCCTCTTCCAGGCCAGCTCTCTGCTGTGGTCCGGGATTGCAGTGGAGGATGGCCCAAGTACTTGGGCCCTGCACCCCATGGGAGACCAGGATAAGTACCTGGTTCCTGCCTTCGGATCAGCGCGGTGCGCCGGCCGCAGCGCGCCAGCCGTGGCAGCCATTGGAGGGTGAACCAACGGCAAAAAGGAAGACCTTTTTCTCTGTCTCTCTCTCTCACTATCCACTCTGCCTGTCAAGAAAAAAAAAAAAAAAAAAAAAAAAGAAGCTAATGTGCTAAGAAGCAAACTTCAGAGAAGCAAAGTAAAATGTTCTGCAGAACTGCATAGGAAGAGGACTCATCTAGAAATAAAATGAGTCTAAAATGAATAGTGAAGTACTCTGGGATTTCTAGGTACAGTCTTAACTAGGCTGCTGTTGGTGGACTCAGATACCAGAAGAATTATGTCATTCATACTAACTGGAGACCTAATGTGCCTCTAACACAAAGCCTGTGACAAAGACTGACTAAATTTAGTCAGGCTCTTGAACATTCTTGGGACTCATCTGTGAAGTTCCTTATAAAATCTAGTGTTAGCAAGAACACTAAGTTAGTTTAGCAAAAGTGCCTCCACTATTCCCCAGATGATATCTGATAACACTGGCCTGTCTTTATTAAGAATACTGTTGATTTAGTCAGAATCCCCCTAATCCCTGATGTTTCCTCTTAGCAATTCTCCACTCACTAACCCCTACACTGTTCCTTGGCTATTACTTCCCACTTTTATCCATTCTATGTTAAGCATTCAGCCCAATCTTTCTCTCCACTGCACTGTTCCCTATACCTATCACAGTGATTCTGAATAAAGCCTTCCTTATTATTTTTAATAAGCATTATTGAATAATTTCTTCTTTAACAGCAGTCTCATGACAGACATCTACATTTCTAGGTCACATGGAGAAGATGCAACCAAATCTCTCAGGGTTAAAATAACAGGTCAACTAAGTCTCACTAAACCTCCAACCAATTTCAATCATATCAAGACAAGATTAAAATGATCAGCCTCTAATTCTAATAATAAACAGGGATCTGTGAAGATAGCTACCACACTTCTCTACATTCTCTTTTTACATTATTATTGTAATAAAATTTAAAGATTCCCAGAAGGGCAACAGATGATCAAGATATTGGATATGTTTTTAAATAGTCAACAACTATATTCAAGAAAAATGAGAGCAAAACACAGATGAAAAGATTGAGATTTTCACACAAGATTTGATCCCTATAAAAAATTATCAAGGGGCTGGCACTGTGCACAGCAGGTTAACTCACTATCTGCAACACCAGCACCCCATATGGGCACCAGTTCAAGTCCCATCTGTTCCACTTCTGATCCAGCTCCCTGTTGGTGTGCCAGGGAGAGCAGCAAAGGATGACCCAAGTCATAGGGGTCCTGCACCCCTCCCGGTGGGAGACCGGGAAGAAGCTCCTGGATCCTAGCTCAGTCTTGGCCATTTGAGGAGTGAACCAGGGGATAGAAGATTTCTGTCTCTCTGTAATTCCAATTTTCAAATAAATCGTTTAAAAAAAAATCTGAGTGGCTATCCTAAAATTAAAACACACAAAACCTCAATATCTGAATGGAGTTCAGAAGAGAGGTGGCACATTACAGGTATTCATTACTAGCTCAGGAGAAGTATCAACAGAAAAGAAACACGAGGAGAGGACTGTGCTATGGTGCAGCAGGTTAATACCCTGGCCTGAAGTGCCAGCATCCAATATGGGCGTCAGTTTGAGACCCGGCTGCTCTACTTCCAATCCAGCTCTCTGCTATGGCCTGGGAAAGGAGAAGATGGTCCAAGTCCTTGGGCCACTGCACCCATGTGGGAGACCCAGAAGAAGCTCCTGGCTTCAGATAGGCGCAGCTCTG